GGTGCTTCGTGTGAGTTTCAAGCCTCCAAGTCCAGGACTCAACTGCAGTTGACTACATGGGAGTCCAGTGACATAACCATTATGCCAGCTGATGGTCTCAACAAATAAAATTTTAAAGAAGAAAGTGATCAATAGAACCAATGTTGCAAATATATGAATGAGTGCCGAGAACTGAATGAGAAACTTAGAAATTTGATAGGTTGAGTACAATGACAGAGGCGAAAACCTAATTGAAGTGGAAGCAAGCAAGGGTGGGAGAAGTGTAGTTGAAGGCAGAAAATCTAGACAATTATTTTGAAGAGTTTTCAATAGCAGGAAAGCAGAATAATATGATTGTAGTTTGAGTGTGAAGGGGGTCAGGAGAGTTATTAGTAATCTAAAGAATTAGATCATAGAGCATGTGTGTGTATGTATATATATATATTATATATATGTATATATAAATGTTTATAAGACAATTTTGAAAATTGCTATTTTTTACACATTTTTTATAAAATTGTACTTACATTAGTGGACTTGTGAATAATTTTTTTATATCTTAGATAGCATTTTATTTCAGAGTGCATGTGCATTTTTGAAAGGATTACAGTAAATTTATAGAAATTAGAATTTCCCCTTGAAAATTGAGAGTCAATTATTATTTGGCTCCTCTTGAATAGCTATATTTAAAATTGGAAAATATTTTGCTAAGAAGGTAAAGTTGTAGAATTATCAAAGTATTTATTTATTTAAAAAATGTTGCCAGGGAGTATGTACACTTGCAGATACAGAGAAAGGGGAGATACAGGTAAGACAGAGAAAGACGAAGTGAGAGATAACGCTTCCCAATAGGTCATGCTGCAATCCATTCTCCTCCATCTCTCCATCCTGTTGGGATTTTTGACCATGCATGGGCCTGGAGTGTTTTTCAAGCCATCAGAGTTGAAATTTGATTTGTGTGGTTGGCCACGTGGAATCCAGCTCCCTTAACCATAGGGCCTCGGGTGGGCCAAAGCTGTGGAATTCTACAGTTCAGTTAGGGGTGCAGAGTATTGTCAACATAATTCTAGTTTGATACAGTTCTCAATTAAATGCTTTCTTTAGTATTTTAATTTGAATGGGGAAAATTCTTACTATTGCATTTGATATTACAGATTATGGATTATTTTAAACTCTTAATACTGGAGTGAATATCATCAGCACAGAATGTTTAATGAGGAAGACATATAAGATGAAAAGTTAATATATCTAATCATATGAACATGTGTACTGGAGCTTTTACAGAATTTACTGAGACATATTAATGTATTGCTATTTAGTAACTTCTATATTTTTCATATTAACTTTTGTAAGGAAAAGATTCTGGGCTTGTACTAAAAATGGATTTGGATTAATTTTAATTATACTATGATACATATTGAGATTTGGGGATAGAATAGCATTATATATTGCTCTGGTCTGCAGGCTGCTCCAGCACACTCCTGATGCAACCAGATTTGTTAATTATCTTTGTATGGTTGAATGGTCTGCAAATTAATTTATTAATTATCTTTCTGGAATAAATGGAATGTTCAGTTTTGAATCAGACTGACATCTGTGGTCTTTTTCCTGGAAATCTGTTCTACTGTGATATGTGGCAGACTCCAGTGGTTTTTGTCAGTCATCCTCCCTTTTTCCTTTAGTGCTAGAGCCCCCAAATTTTAGTTAGATACCTAGAAGCTCAGAATGTCGACATTTTCCAACTTTCGTTGTACCTACGTGCAGCCATGTGCTTGAGAGCTGGCCTGTGTGGATGAGGTTGTGGCCCAAGGCACCTTTCATGAAGAAAGATGAGAATGGTTGCCTTACTTTATCCCCTTCTACTTCCTGGGTGGAAAGTAGCCCTAGTTGATCATCTGGTAAACTTGGAAATGGATACGATGCACAAGAAAGGTAACAAGGACATAGAGCCTGGGTTCTTCCTTGACACTACATGTCATTTCAGCCTTATGCTGCCTCCACCACCCTTCTCAGATGCAAGAGAGAAATAAATGTCTACATTGCTTAAGCCATTACTAGTTGATGTTTCTCCCTTGACCTTGTTCCATGGTCTGGTATGTGTAGGCCCAGAAAAAATATCTTTGGAAGATATGAGGTGAAAACAGAGGCTCAAAATATCAAGAATAATGTTTGAGAGATTTTTCTTTTTAGAAAGGAAATGAGGAATGGGCAGATCCGTATGTAGAAAAATTGTGTGAAAGAATCTCTTTGTTTCTGATTTTATCTAAGGTATTTATTTCCTAAAGCCAAAATTATAAAGGCATCAGTGCTATCTTAAGCCCTGTTCTTGACCATCCATTCCCAAATAAGAACAAATGCCTTGTGATATCCTTGTACCTTAGACACAAAACATGACACTGTTCTTTATTTGTGGATTTCAGTGCCCAAGGGAAAGTTAAACCATGCTTTAGGCAATTTTTCAGTGATCTGAGAGTAGTCTTACCTACATTGCTTTAACTGTGACCTGTTGCCACCTGGAAATTTCTCAGGGTGCTGCCTTGATAAAGATTGGCTAAGGTCTGCTCTGTGGAGGCAGGTCTAGTCTGAAGGTTATTCAACAAGTGCTAGAAAACCTGCTCAGGAAATAGAGTATCAAGGTCTGTCATCCTTGACCTGTGCAATTTCTGAAGTACAGACTGTATTCTGGACATTTTATGTCAGGGGAAGCTTCAAAAGGAAGCTCATGGTAGCTCTATTAACTCTGTTACTATAAATAAAAAAACAGAATAAAAGTGTGTAGAAGCTATCTCTGGACCCTAGAAAAAAATGTCAAATCAAATAGTTCTTCTTAAATGAATTTTTTAGAAAAAATTTTTGACATAGGGCATTTGTACTCACTGGAGAGAAACAGAGAGACAGTGAGAGAGAAAATGTGAAATCAACCCCTGGGAGGATGGCCATGCCATAATCTTTTCTCCTCCATTCTTCTCCTGGGATTTTGGGCATGCATACACATGTGCCTGGTGTGATTTTCAAGCTGCCACATCTGGGACTCAAATTGCAGTTGGCCGTGTGGGAGTCCAGATCCTTAACCACTACATCACTTCTAAATCTAGTTAGAAATGTATAGAGTAGTTTACAGTCCTCTCCCCACACCCTTTATCTTTTGAGATTTCTGTTTTCCCATCTATGAAATGGAGACGTTCATGCTCTTATACTTCATAGGATTGCTACAGAGCTAAGATGAGCTAATATATTTCAAATACATTATGTTCTATAAAGTACTATTTGTTCATCAAACATTTATTTAGTATCTACGTAGTAGACTTTGTGCTAGTCCTCAGGAAGGGGTATAAAAGTGAGTCCTTGCTCTTTGAGCTCCTACCTCAGGGAAGTAACAGATGAGGGCAACACCATAGTACAGGATAATAAGACTGCATCACCACAGACGATAATGCAAGTACCTCTGTCTAGAGAGTTCACAGAATTGAAGATATTTAATGTGGACCTGGAAGGGTAGGTAAGATTTCACCAGATGGAGATGATGTGAGAAGCATTCTGGTCAGATATCTACTTACAACTGGTAACAGGAGAGTCACTCTGCTTTTAAAACAATGATATTAGTACATGGGAATAAGACACCCAGAAGGTATATAAAGGAGGTGAAATAGTTTCTTTCTTTTTTTTTTTAATTGAGAGAAGATAAGCTAAATTATAAAACAAACAAGCATGACTGACAATTGATTCAGGACAACGAGAGTACAGCAGGGAAGACAATGCTCTCTTACTTTATATACACCCTATGGAATGCATGAACTTAAAAAAAAGTTATTTATTTATCTATTTTTTTGTTGTGATTTTCAAGCTGCTGGGTCCAGCACTGAAACTGCTGTTGGCAGGCCAGCCTGGAAGTCTCATAAATGAAAAGAGGATGCTCCTCTCTATTGACAAGTGACTACATCAAGCAATAGAGTACAACACAAGTGGAAAGTGACTAGCAGTGAGTTTGGTCAAGGATACATCTGAATGCCTTTTACAAGATTAGTTCAACAACAGCTAATAAACTAAACAGAAAAACGAGAGAATTAGCTGAGTACTAATTAGAATTGTTATCAAGACAATGTGTCGTAAATGAAAGATTGATTACGTTTTTATATTCCCTCAGCCTTTTGCCAGGGGACTACAGAGATGGATGAATATTGTGATTTAATTTTAAAGGTAGAAATCTGTTGAAGACAAATTAAAAAAAAAAAAACAAAGCATTTTAAGGGTAGAGAATTCGAAATCTCAGATAAACACACACACACACTCACACACAGACTCATTTCTCACAGTCATAAATATTAGACAAAAAATCAGACATAGAATTTAAGTTATTGCACAAAAGGATACCTTTAAAAGTGAAAGAGGGTTCTATTTATGGTTTTCATCAGGGTAACAGGTGCAAATCTGGACTGTCCAGGTAAACTGGATGTATAGATAGCACCAGCTATCGGAACCACGCAGACTTCGTTGAATAGGATAAAGATGTGCTTTGTTCCCTCTCAGGTGCTCCTGAGGCTTCTTGGGCACCAGAAATTTGTTTAAGCATGTTTTATTTATTTATTTATTTTCCTAGGTAGGGCTAGGGAAAGGTAAGGATTAGTGTAGCATTATAGTTAAGAGCACTGACTAGTTTCAAAACCTGGCTAATTAGCTGTGTGTCTGTGGGCAAGTTGCTTGACCTTTCTGTGCCTCAGTTTCCTCATCTGTAACTTGGGGAATATAATGGGTTATTGTGAAAGCCAAATGAGCTAATACATGGAAAATGCTTACAAGAAGGTCTGACTCACAGAATTTTATCTATGTTTGTTATTTTAATAATTAGCCCTATTTTATATATTGCCGAAGGGGGAAAAACATTAAAAAAAAGAAACAAAAGGAATGAATAAAGAAAAATCAGGTGTGTAGTATGCACCTATAGTCTCATCTACTTGGGAAAATGAGGCAGGAGAGACCCTGGCAGAAAAGCAACATGCGCACGTGCACGCATGCATACTCACACACAGAACAAAGAAGCAATTATATGCCGTGGTTGATCTTTTGTTAAGTTCTCTTCAAGATAGTTAGGACGACTGAGATGTGAACTTGGGTCTCTTCCAGATAAAAAGTATCTTCAGAGTTCTTGTTTTCTGTAAATAAGGGGAAATGGAGAAGGAAATCTGACTTGGCTTTAAATCATCATAAGTTTTCTTCATTGCACTTAAAACACACGTATTATTAAAAAGCTATTGACTGGTGTAAAGTCTCTGAGCTGTGCAATGCTAGATTAGACCTGTATTAGACATGTTACTCATATAAATGTGTTTTCTAGGCAAATGAGTTTGGAAAAAGCACCAGACACAGCCAGAAAAACTATAGTAAGGCCTACGTTTATGTGTTTATAGTTAAGTCTTGCCTGACGTCTTAAAATCTCTTTATTACTATAAATAATAATTACAACTAACATTCTTCAGCACTTATGAGATACCAAGCCCTTCTCTAATTGCTTCATAGGTATTAATGCATTAAATCCTTGCAACAAATATTTGAGGTAAGCATTGTTGTTATTATTACCAATTTATGGATGAGGATCTGAGGGAGAATAGATTAAGAATTTACTCATCTCTGTATTTCACTAGTACCTTACATACCTTACATACCAGGCACCTAGTAAATACTTATCAAATCAGATTTTCTTGTGGGTTTACCTATATTTTTTTTGCAGAACTCACTTACATGGTCTATTTGTTTCCAGTAAGAAGAAGCTTGAGAATCTATTTAGAGAAAACCATTTACAGCTACCTTGTTAGCCTTGCCTATATTTGTCCTTGATATTTTGATTTCTGTGAGACCATGAGAGCTCCTAATCGTGAAGACCATTTCAAATATCCTTTTAAGTCTTAGGTTAGGACAGAAATGTTAAATGAGATTTTAAATTCTAGAAATCAGCCTGACAAATGAATATGGGCTGTCTGAAATAAATTATTTATATTTGGCTTTGGAAAGCAATCTCATGGATATCTTTTCCCTCCAAGGATTTGATTCCTAATTTTGTTTACCCCAGGATAATATTGTAATTGCTTGCATTTTCTGAGCACACATCAGCTGATAAAGGGAGGGAAGAGAGGGCATCTTACTGGCAGCTCTGTAAGTGCCAGTAGGTCAGCTGGAGTGAACAATGTGCTCTGAATCCTCTACAGGGTGGAGAATCTGCACAGGAAACCCTCCAGTGGATACTGAGCCTGAGGTAAAATCTGGGAAGTGGAGAGAAGAAGCCAAGCAGCAAAAGAAGCAGCAGGAAAGACATAAACAGAATAGAACTTGGGGGACACAGCACAGAGTAGCCATTAGAAGCAATTGATCAGGGAGGCAAATAGAAGATGGTAGTAAATTTTTATTCTCCTCAATAGGCTATTTTACAACAGTACTTTGTATGCTAAATGACTGTCTAAAAAAGCAGACACCATGTTTTAATGCTCTGGGTCAGTTATAGAGAACAATAACAGGGGAGAAATAGTACTCCAAAGAATAGGGCGATATCAATGTGTGTTTATTTGCTCTATTTAAAATTTAAAGGGCCAAGCTCATGCGATGAATTATGGTTAGATAAAATACATTTCTAAATACCAAAGTAATGCAATGGCCTATTTCTATTTCTTCCTCATCGTGCTTATGTTTGATAACTGAAATTTGAGCACAGCCACAATTTCATCAGCTCTGCTTCTTTTGTAAAAAATATTACCCACAAGGATCCATACATTCTGCAACTTTATTGAGCAGTAACCATGGGCAGGTAAGGAGTTAGGGAGGAGAGAAACACTGAAAAACAGTTACACGGATCACTCTATAACTATAATTACTATAAGTACAATGAAGAACATTGTGATGTGTCTTAGAATACTTCATAGGACCACATCTAGACAGATGTGCACTGGGAGAAGAAGGGGATTGAGAAGAATTACATTGAAGGCGATATGAAGAAAAAAAGGAATTGGCCAGGTGAAGGTAGTGATGAAAAGAGTCAATCGACATATGGCTGATTTTACTCTATGCTTGATTAATGGGTTTGGTGCCTATAAAGTTAGGTACAAAAGAAATGTACTCAGCTGATTGTTTTGGTGTGGTTCATTGGAGGGAATGTAATGGAAATACAGAAACATCACAAAACAGTAGGACGCTGTTGCCACAGTGCCTTTCTTCCAGACACTTGTCTCTCTACTCCGGCAAGTGAAGACATGTGGTAGAATTATAGAATGAGGGTGTATAGGGGTTGGCGTCTGCCAACAAGCTTAAGAGTAACATCCCTCTGGATGGTAATACTGTCAGCATCTGCCCTAGAAGCAGAGATGCAGGGGAACACAGACAAGCTGTGCTGCTCAGTCATGCTGAGCTTCTCTATTTATACATTTTACCAGGCACAGTAAACTGTTTGCAAACTTTCAAGGATGTGGTTGGAGTTCTACGGCTAGAGATAAGGACTTCAGTGCAGACATTTTTCAACCTGGTTACTATCATGTGTGATCCTATTATGCGTCTTAGGTCAAGCCAGTTTACTTACGCTATTCCTCTGTAACTCCGAGGAAGTCCGTCTGAGTATGCATCAAAGAGGATAATAGGTAAGCCATGAACATTACATAGAATAGGCATCACATGACCTAACCAGGGTCAGGATGTTTCCTGTGTCCTGGAGATCAGATAAGATCCGCAGAGCCCCTGCTATTAAGGTACGTGTCAGCCTGTTTAGTGAGTAGTTAGCGAGGCATACTGATAACTGCCTCCTGTATCTAGGCTGCATACCCTCACATATAGGTTGCCTTCACTTTGTCGTTTAAGGTGCCAGAAGAAAGGAAGAGTCCATCTTAAAAGATAAGAAAATTTAGGACCAGCAGTTGGCATAATGGCTATGTTGCTGGACTCCCACTTAACCAGCCATGGTTTGAGTCCCGGAACCGGTGCCTTAAACTTATGCCAGGCATGTGTGCATGCATGCCCAAGATCCTGAGAGGAGAATGGAGGAGAAGGGATTGTGGCATGGCCATCCCCTCCGGGTGGGGGGTGATTTCTTGCTTTCTGTCTCTCTCTCTTTCTCTGTCTTTCTGGTGAGTGCACGTGCCCTATAGCAAAAACCTCTCAAAAAAAATTAGGAAAATTTAAGGAGATTTCAGTGCTGCTTTCAGAGCAAGGGCTTTAAATCTGCAAAATTCAGGACTATGTGTCATTAATAATTGCAGATACTTACCTTCATTTCAACGTAGGGGATGTGGGACCCAGATAACTTTTTGTGGACTTAATACTGGATTCTGTAAACAATCTCCAAATGAGCCTGATATTGAAAGTAAAAATGAGTTGGAACCAGCAGTTAGCGTAATGGCAATGTCACTGGACTCCCCTGTAGTCGACCGTGGTTCGCGTCCTAGACCCGGTGGCTTAAAACTCACGCTGGGCGCGTGTGCGTGCATGCCCAAGATCCCGAGAGGAGAATGGAGGAGAAGGGATTGTGGCATGGCCATCCCCCCTGGGACATGATTTCTTGCTTTCTGTCTCTATGTCTCTCTCTGTCTGTCTGGCGAGCGCACCCGCCCTATAGCGAAAACCTCTCCAAAAAAAAAAAAAAGTAAAAATGAGTTGAAAAACTCTTTTTCCTCTTTTTTTAAAAACAAAACAAAACAAAACAAAAAACAACCACAGCACTAAAACTGTGTGGGAAGCAGTATTCTGTCTGAAAGATGCAAGAGGAAAACTTTCACAATATTCACAGACCATGTGATCCCATAGAGTAAATTTCAGGGAGAGAATTCTTTATCAGCCCAGCATATATTCACATTTTCCACAGAGCAGAAGATTTTATGTTCAAGATTTTAAACCACATCTAGATGTAAAGAATTGCTCTTTAATTATAAAAATATCTCAACATTTTTCTATAGTGTTTATTCTAAAAATAGGTTATTTGAAAAATGATTTAAAGCAATGGGCAAATAATGATAGCACAGACTCATCACACACTCATTAAAGATCATGCATGTATGTGTTTGGGTGAGAACCCAGGTCAGAATATGCATTAAATTATTCTATGTTCGTGCAATTAGGTGGATTAAATGAGCACTTCCTACACACATAGTTCTCTCATAAAGATCATGGCTCTATGAACAATCATTCTCAAGTAGAAACCAAAGTAACCAAACAGTACTTCTTTTCAATTCTTGATTATTGGTGTGCAAATCACGTTTTGATGCTAACTCAATATACCAGGGTCAGTAATATCACTTCATCAGAGAGCCCAGATTATTTGAGTTCTGCTCTCTGCCAATTTGGTACTGATGGAGATTGGAAAAGTTTAAACATGTTAAGCATAATAGTTAATATTTCTTGAGTGTTCACTTTATGCCAGACAATATTCTAAGTATTTTCATATTTTATCTCATTGACTCTTCAAAACAACCTTTTTTTTTTTTTTGAGAGGTTTTCACTATAGGGCGTGTGTGCTCGCCAGGCAGACAGAGAGAGACATAGAGACAGAAAGCGAGAAATCACCCTCCAGGGGGGATGGTCACGCCGCAATCCCTTCTCCTCCATTCTCCTCTCGGGATCTTGGGCACGCACTCACATGCGCCTGGCGTGAGTTTTAAGCCACCGGGTCCGGGACGCGAACCACGGTCGACTACGTGGGAGTCCAGCGACATAGCCATTACGCTAACTGCTGGTTCCCTCTTCAAAACAACTTTTTAAAGAAAAGGGAAGTTAGAAAAATTGGCCAAAGTCACACAGTTTGCTCTTGTGGTCAAGCTGGCAATTGGACTTACCTATAAAAGTGTTACATGAGAAGGCAAAACACATTTTATTGTTTTTCATCTTCAAAGGATACTGAACTAAAACTTTGTTCTAATTCTTTCTTATTCAATGCTTTATTTTCCTTAGTGAAACAAAATTTGGTGATATTAGAAACTAAATTTCATAGATCAAAACTTGTGGAGCTTGGGAACCAGCAGTTAGCGTAATGGCTATGTCGCTGGACTCCCACATAGTCAACCGCGGTTCGTGTCCCAGACCCGGTGGCTTAAAACTCACGCCGGGCGCGTGTGCGTGCGTGCCCAAGATCCCGAGAGGAGAATGGAGGAGAAGGGATTGTGGCGTGACCATCCCCCCTGGGGGGTGATTTCTCGCTTTCTGTCTCTATGTCTCTCTGGCGAGTGCACGCGCCCTACAATGAAAATCTCTCAAAAAAAAAAAAAAAAAAACTTGTGGAGCTTGGGATATTATTTTTGCTTTCTTGCTTTGCTAATGTCAATTTGTAAGCAAAATAATACCTCCCCCTCCTTTAAATTTTATTTAGAAAATAATACGTCCCCCTCCTTTAAGTTTTATTTAGAGATGGGAGAGTGAGAGAGAGAGAAAACAAGCACTCTCAGTAGTATCCTGCTGTGATCCCCCCCCAGCCTTTCCCAGTTGCCAGTATCACAGGAACATGCACTTGCAGCTGACAGATTTAGATCAACCCTGGAGCAGAGTACTGATTTCCATGTGGCTTCCAGTATTGTAAGCATTGCGCTTCTGCGGCGCTACCACTGTGCTACTGCAGCTGGGCCTCCTTTTTTTTTTTTTTTTTTTTTAAACCTCCCGAGATAAGAACATCACAAATGGATTTTGAGAAATTCATTTACAGGTATGTAGTACGCAGTGTTTCTCACTTGTATTTTTACCATGGATTCTTCTCTCTTTTGGGGGCCATTTTGTGTAGTGTTTCTCAATGAATACATTGTGTTTCCTTTTCCTCTCTCAAATCGTTATAATCTGACTGTGTCTTTAATATTCTCCTTTTTGGATTTCTGGAACACTATTTCTTCTCACTTTCTTTCTGCTCCTTTGTCTTTTCACTTTCCTTTACTAACTTGTCTTTATCTAATTCCTACATGTTAGTGTTCCCTAGAGTTCCATCCTTGACTGTCTTCTGTGTCAATATTATATTTCCAATTGCTTCATTTAAATGGCTCTGCTTATTCTTACTTTATGAAATCTGGCTTCTTTAGAAATAATTAATTACTCTCCTTTTTCTCTGCCAAAGACACATTATTGATGTCATAAAGTGCTTGCCGTATTGCATTATGTCTGCTTTCCAATTAGCCTCTTTTGCCAAGACATTACAGGCTTGGTTATGGTTCCTCTTAGCAGATTACCAGAAAGAAAGTTTCCATCTCACTCATATTAGAGTCTGCTGCATATCTGGGCAACTTTTGAGTGCAGCTGTTTACAAACTCTGTTGCATAACTCAAAGACGTAGGTGACCTCAAAGTTGAGACCCTGCTTTCTCGATACAAGAACTTTTCTCTGATTACAATAGCAAGAGAGAGACTGGAGATGAAGTAGGGGCTTCTACTGCCTCAGCCTAGACTGACACAGGCCTGTCGGTTCACATTCCAGTGGCCAGAGCTAATCATTAGGTCTTATCTTTTGACAGTAGGTCCTTTTTCCTCTTGTCCCAATATTACTTCTGCTACTACCTATTAGTCAGTATTTAATAAGTTATTGATACATGCCAAGCAATATGTGAAGCTCTGCATTAAGTCTATATTCAGATCTCATGAGGTAGGCCTTTTTTAATATGACCATATTACAGATTTAACCATCGAGATCAGAAAAATGAAGCATATAGCTCACAAAACAAGCATAATGGAATCATTCTGTATCTTCAAATTCTCTCACTCTGTTTTCACTTTCTATCTGCATTGAAACGTGCTCATATTTCTACGATCTTGAGCAAAACCATTCCCTGAAGCTGTTGCTCCTTTCTCCTTCATTATCTTTATTTTTTGTCTTAACTTCCTCACATTCATTCTTCAAGCAACCTGACTTGGATTCCACCACTCAAATGAGTGACCTCCTATTTTCTAATATCCCTCTAGTGGAGACTTCCTAGTTCTTATCATTCAGTCTCTGAAATAGTTCTGTTACTATCCTCTTTCTTCTGAGACATACTCTCCTTTCTTTAGCATCCTTTTCACTCCACAGTACTTTTCTAGCCATTCTTTTTCAATTTGGCTATGGGGACACTTTTTCCTTCAGACTGTTTCTTAAATGCTGGTGTCCCTCAGGGTTCTACCACAAAAATTCTCAGGGCCAGCAGGTAGCGTGGTGATTCAGGCACTGAATTCCTACATGGCTGATTGTGGTTTGAATCCTGGACCTGGCGGCTTGAAACTCATGTTGCTCGTGTATGCATGTGTGCTGAGTCTGAGGAGGAGAATGGAGGAGAAGGGACTGTGGCTTGGCCATTCTCACTGGGGGGTGATTTCTCACTTTTTCTCTTTCTGTCTCTATCTGTCTGTCTCGTTCACCAGCGAGGGCATGCACCCTATGACAGAAACAAAAAAATAAAATAAAAATTCTTCCCCTTCTTTTTTTTGTTATTTTAAATTTTCTGCTTATATTACATGCTCATATGGTTAATTACTACATATATGTGTCATTCATTCCTAAGTATATTATCTAATATATAAATCTGTTTTGATTTCTATACCCGTTTCACTAATTTCTATTTGATATTCTAAATTTTGGTTCACATAAGAACCTTCAACTTAACATTTCTGAAACTGAATTCATAATCTCTCTCTCCCTCTATAAATACATTTCCTTCTAACATTTTTCCCTCTAAACTTCCCAGCATTTTGCATACTTGTTTAAGTGGGCCATCTATGGATGTGTTCCTTCTGTTCACAACCTATACTCAATCAAGTTCTAAGTCTTATTAATTGATAAGATTCTATTTTCTAAATATAATTCAACTTGGTAGACTCTTCTTTTTAAATTGACATGTAATCATTGCACATATCTATGGGGTACAGTGTAATGTTTCTATACATGCGTGAATTTTGTAATGACCAAAGCAAGGTAATTAGCATATCTATCACCTCAAGCATTTACCATTTCTTTGTGGTGAGAGCATTTAAAATTCTCTCTTCCAGCTATTTTGAAGTATGCATTATTGTTAACTAGTCTCCCTACTGTGCAATAGAACACTAGAATTTATTCTTTCTATCTAGTTAAAACTGTGTACCCATTTACTAACCTCTCCCCATCCCAACTTTCCTTATCCTCCCAAGCCTCTAGTAACCACTATTCTACTCTTGTCTATAAGATCACGTTCTGCATTCTGAGTGAAATCATGTAGTCTTTGTCTTTCTCTGCCCGATTTATTCCACTTAACAAAATGTCCTCCAGTTTTATTCATGGCGTCACAAATAACAAGATTTCACTTTTTATGGCTGAATAGTATTCCACTGTGTATGTGTATCACATCTTTAAATCCATTTGTCCTTTGGACACTTAGGTTGATAC